TCATCATCATCATCATCATCATCATCATCATCATCATCATCATCATCGCTGTCCTGTGCCCCAGTCCGCCCAGCTGCCCAGCTGGGGAGTCTTTTTCGATGTCCGATTCCTGGCCCACCATTTCTGGCCCAGGCGGCGGGGTCATCTCAAAGAATCCCTTGGCTTTTTATCGGATTTTAGACGACCAAAGCCAGGTCATTCCCTTTTTTTTGCCTCCCAGACGCGACCCTGGACCCTCATATGCAGGGGTCGGACCCGAACCAATCCCTATGGTTTGGTTCGGGCCCAGTCGGCCTGTGAACGGAGCGTCTGGGCTGGTCTTCTCAGAAGTCTTAAGGTTTTCGCTTGATCCGACTCTGGACGCCTTCAGACCGAGCCAATTCCCCTTGGTGGGGTTTTTCCGTGGAAACCGCACCGTGTGGAGAGATCGAGGTCAGGAGGGAGTTCTTCAGTTCTTTCGGATCGACCGCACCGGCGCGACATGTGCTGAACGAGTTTGTTTCAACCGCCGCATGGCCCAGACGCGACCCGGAACTCGGCCCCGAATCCTCTGGAGGGGTCAGGGACCCTCCAAAACCCGATGGTTTGGTGAGGGCGGCCCAGTCGGCCTGTGAACTCACGGAGCGTCTGGGTGGCAAGAATTTCACATGCCCAGACGCTCCAAACAGCCCGACTGGTCCCTCAAAACCTAGGGATTTGAGACCCCAGACCCCTCCAGAGGATTCGGGTTCCGACCCTTCCATATGAGAGCCCAGGGTCGCGTCTGGGTGGTGCTGAAACGTTCGTTCCGCTCGACCGAAGCACCCCAAGCACCGAAGAGCCGCTGGGGGTTGGGCCAGCTGAACGCGCGCCTCGACCGACCTTCTCAGGACGTGAACGCGAGCCTCACCAAGCCGGAGCCGCTCCTGGGCGCCTCGGAGCTCCTGGGAGCGGTCGTTTCCTTCAGCGATGCTTCGGTCCTCGCGGATCGAAGCCCCGCTTCGCTTCGACGATGCTTCGCCACATCTGTCTGATGTCAGACTGAACCGGGCGAGGAGATGGTCTTTGGTGTACACCTTCTCAAGTCTTTGACATTGTGTGTTGTGTGTTCTTCTTCCCATCCGGAACCCAAGCTGCTCCAACAGCAACCGGTTCCAGCACCCCATCACACCCAAAAGCCGCGGAAGTGGTTTCCGTCAGCCCGAGACACGGTCGCTGCACAGACCGCGAGTCGGTCGGTCGTTGCTTCCGACGTGAACGGTCGTTGGAAGACCATGTTTTTTGATGGTTCCCCCACCAAAGTTCCTGGCACCAGCCCGTCATTGATATGATTGCCGAAAGCGGGTTCGCGGTCTCTGGGAAAGTGCCAAAAACCCGACGAAATCCATGGGGCCAAGGAGGTCCCCCTGACCATGAACAGAATCGACGGACGGCGTCGGAGGTGACTTTTGTTGGGAGCGAGCGTGGCTGGGGTCGTCGACAGCATCTCAACTCGGTTTGGTCGTTTTTGGTTCTACCCAGACGCTCCGTTTTCGTTCACAGCCCTACTTCCGGGTCCCGAACCAAACCCATACCTGGACCCTCCAACAGGTGTTTCCTGGTGACAACAAGTGCCCAGAAGCCGCCTGTTAGGCTTCTAAAACCACCTGTTGGAAGATCCTGGTAGGGATTGGTGAGGGTCGGTCCAGACCCCTGACCAGTCTGGGCCGGGGCCGAACGCGACCCGTTTCGCGTCTGGGTTCAAGGCTTTGGAGTTGGCACCTGTTGCCTCAGCATCGCTGCCTACGTGAAGAACAATGAAGCGCTTCAGCTTCTCATCAGCCCCTCGATCCAAGGATATGAGAGTCGTGACGTCGTCTCTGACTCTCAGGCTGCTTTCCTGCCTGAATTCCTATACAGATCGATGAATCGATTCGATACTCACTTCACCATCGAGTTTGGAAGGATCCATGCTGCATTCATCTGCAGGGGAGCTGATCTTGCGGAGGGACGTGTCCACCAAACAAATTGCTTGACACCTATACCGATACCCTGCGAGTCCAAGACTATACTGCCCTAAGGATCCGTGGACCCTCCTTAGAAGGGATCGAACCCTGCTGTTCACAGGGGTTTGGGCCCCCTCAAAACCCTTGTTTTTGAGGTGCGGATCCTTAGGGTGTATGTAATGTTCTTTTTTTTTAAGAAACGATCCAAAACCGGTCTTTAGGGATCCGGAGCTAGAGTTTCCTTCAATACCCGACTTAAGTCTTTGGGACTTCTAGGATCTTCTAGGGCAATAGGGACGAGAATGAGGTATTCCAGCCAGGAAACGAAACCCGAAACGATCCCTTGATCACATCCCCGCCCCCACGAAGGGTGAACATACCTTTTCTTTTTTTCACGAAAGGTAGCCCTTTAGGGGATACCTTGAGTTTGTCTTGCGAAGCAAGTGTTGGGACGTCCGGGTCTAATAATTGATCGCTCAATTCAGACCCCCCCCCACCGCCCCTCTTGGCTAGTTTTTCTCCACACAGACCCCCCCCCCCTCCCCCCCTCTAAAATCAATTCTCTCCTGGAGATCGTCTTCGTGAGCCTCTCATGATTTCAGGATAGTTGAAACCCTCTTGAACATTCAGAAAGAGTGAATATGAAATTCTAATCACGAAAGGTGTTCCCCGAGGGGATACATACCTAGAGTTTGTTTTGTGAAGCACGTCAATTCTCTCCTGGGGAGCGTCTTCGTGAGCCTCTTATGGTTTCAGGATAGTTCAAATCCTATGATGTTCCGATTCAATGCTCACCGATGATCTGAGCCATGGGGCAAGTTTGTTTTCCTAAGAATCTTTTTAAACATTTCGAGAGCACATGTTTGAACATTTAAAGTGCATATGAACATATATTTACGAAAGGTCGCCTCCGAGGGGATAAATCACCATGTCGAACATTGCATTTTTGTTCCTGCCTCTCGCGTTCTCTTCTCTTCCCGCTGTCCTACCTTTCGTGTCTCCCTCCTCTCAAGTTTTCTGGAGGGCATCAGCTTTTCTGAGGCTGAAAGTAGCGGCGTGTCCCAGATGTCCGTCGGTAAAGAGGATCATATGGCTTCAGCTCATCGTTGCTGGTACTGGTGATGGGATACACCCACCAGGACCCGACTCTACAGGTCACCAAGTGAGACCTGAGACAGGGTCCAACAACCCTCAACTAACAGCCTGGCCAGGAGGGTGCTGGTATAAGTATAGTCCTACTCATCAATCAACCTGATTCACGTCGACGTGATTCAGAAGGGTTTTCCGACCCTTCCAGAAATCGGTCGACGTCTTTTTTCAGACACCTAGCCGGCGAGGTGTCATGCAGGACTTGGGAGGATCAAGACCAGGTCTTGAGAGCTTTTCATCTCTTACCATGTCAAAGCTTCAGCCCCTGGAAGTCCAGAACTCGTCGAGTCTGCTGGGCACGGAAGAACCCGTCGGAGCACTTCCGCCTTTCCTGCGAAGCTGTTGGGGTCTTCAGGCATAGCCCTAGACTTCCAACCACCATTCATTTCATAGGCTGACTCCCGAATCAACTAAGGATTTTACACTACTTCCAACCAGGTCGTTCCCATGTTTTTTCATGGTCGAACGGAAGTCTTGGGATAGAAACTCCGGAGCAGATCCGGCAGCAGGTTCGGCAGCAGGTTCGCAGGTGGCGCGAGCAGGTTGCGGGGCGCAAGGAGGGCGAGTGGAGGTTCAGCGGGGCAGGTGGAGCAGAGCTTCCGGAGCTAGCTTCGCAGCCATTTTGCAGATCTGCTGCTCAGGCTGACATAGGTTTTGCTCACCAGCTCACGCAGAGATGCTGACGTTGGGTCATGCTGACATGCTGGCAGGCTCCACAAGCGCTACGCCGACATATTGCTGCGTTGTGATGCTGGCATCATGCTATATGGAAAAGGCTCTCATGTGTCAAAGCAGCGTTGCCTAGCAAAGATACAGCACTTAATTGGTGAACTTGCTGCCATTCTCCAATCTATTTTCGGCAGGTTCATGCCCAGCTGTTGGGGATTCTTCTTGGGCTTCAAGATGCTCTTGGATGCCTAAAATCGACAGGTGAAGGTTCTTTTGGATATCTGCATGGGCCACAGCGACCACGGCTACCACGGCTCCGCTGGTCTTCTTCCTCCACTGTCTGAGGCCATCGAGCTGACTTGAACCACGTGGACAGTTTCTCCGCCACGGTGGCCCACTGGGCGGCGGTCGGCGGCAACACGGAAGGCGTGGCGGGCACGCCAGCGCGCGGTTGCACGGCGGTCCTTGGGGCCATACCATCCGTGCTGTTGCCCAAAAGTTACCAACCCGAACGAGCTCGGCCCCGAAGCTATGGAGGGGTCGGACCCGAATCCTTTGGAGGTTTTTTTTCCGGGTCCAAGGACTCATGACTCATGAAACAGCCGAGTGGAGGACTTTGCAGGCTGACAGCAAAGAAGCTTGGCCCTACCTGGAAACCCAAACAACCAGAAACAAATGGTTGTTCCAATATGGCAATTGAAATCCTTTACATAGGAAATGGCTGGGACTGGGGAGTTCCATCCATTTCTTTCTGGTTGGGACTGATTTCCCAGGTAGAAGTCCAAGGACTGGGCGCCCACTGGGCGCCCACTGGCCAGGAATTTCCCAGGCTTCTCGGGGCATCCAGGTGACCATGTTTAACACCAAAACGACTGGACGTTTTGAGGGATCTTTTCAGGGCCGAAGTGGAACACGTCACGGAGCTACGTTCGGCTCCCCCTGCTCCGTTGGTAGCTTCGTCGCTTCCGTTCATAGCTTCGTCGCCATGCCACAGGAACACGTCGCGGAAATCGGATCTTTCAAAGGTGAAGAAGATCCCAGACACCACCCGTCTGGGACTGCCAGTCCGGAGCTGCCGAGGGACAAAAGGCCTGGGCCTTCTGGGGTGGTTGTTCGTATACGGATCGACTTCTGGGGCAGTCCGTCCTGGCAGTCCCAGGACGTCACGAGATGTCTAGGGATGAGTGGCCATCACCCAAGATCCCTGACGAGGTGGGTCCTTCCACCACGCCCGCCACGCCGTGAACTGGACCGATGTCGGCACGGCACGGCCGATGTCGGAGTGCGTGGCATCTCGGGGGTCACCTGGTGCTTGGACTTCCAGGGACCCGTTTTTCAGATCCCGTACCTGAACCCTCCCTTCGATCGGTGATCCGAGGTGCCCAAACACACACCAGCCCCCGTGGTGTTAGGTTCTTAACACGGAAGGTGCCCGATGTCCGGTCCCCAAATCCACGGAAGGTGCTTCGAACATCTTCGAACCCCCGGAGGTCGGGGAGGTCGGGGAGGTCGGAAACCCAGCTCATCCGAGGACGCGGAAAACGTCCGACCTCGGCGGCCTGGTCACTACAACTCCGGTGACTTCCCGCCTCCAAGGAATCACGGTATGATCCCATGACCCACATGAACAACGCGGATGAGTCGTCTGACCTTTCCACCCCACCCCAAACCATCCCCAAACGTCGGATCGTGATCTCCGACGTGACTTGATCCGCACCAGGCCTGCGGATCTTGAGGGATGCTGGCGCCTCCTTCGAGGGTGCCAACGTCTTGGGCTACTCGCCCTTCCGCCTCCCGGAGCGAAGACGGGGAGTGTTCGGTCGGGTGAGCAGGCGTTCCGTGCCCCCGCGCCCGGAAAAGGGGCGGTGCATGAAAAAGGGCGGTGTGAGGTTTTGGAGGAAAGAAGAAGAGAAGCAAGAGCATACCCAGATAGTCTACTCCTACTAGGCGATTTCATGGTCTTTGGGACTAAAGAGTGCCAAAAACACACCTGTTGGAAGGTCCTGGTATAGAAACGGATTCTTTGGATTTCTTTGGATTGTTTCTCTTTTTTTGGTGGGGGGGGTCAGAATCCTCAATATTGGACAACATCCGGACAAGCCGATCATCACTGGCTGTTCGGGTGAAGCTCAGGCGTGACGCTCGCTTCTCCGGTGGGCCACCTTGATTTCAATCACCGGGGTCATCCCGAAGAACCATGGTTTTACTAACCCTAGGGATCCAAGTACCTTCTCAGAAGGTGATTGGAGGCACTGTTATGTAGGTTTGGAGGGTCCAAGTACCTTCTGAGAAGGTACTTGGATCCTTAGGGTAAGGATGTTACGCTCCAAAGCCAGGTCGTTCCCACTTAAAACCAGAGCCGATTTCCGGGCTGGTTCGGCGGGGTGATTTCCGGGCTTTCCAGGTATGGCGTGCTCTGGTGGGCACGTGGAAGCGATGAAGATGCTGTTAGCGCATACGCCATTGATCCTTGGATCTACGCGCGAAAACACCACTTATCAGGAGAGGGGAGGATGCCGGAGGCCAGAAGTGGCAAGTCTGGGGTTGGATCTTGATACATGATTCGTTTTGCGGAGGGTTCCACATGGAGACTGACGAATGAAACACCCGAACTAGAAGTCCATTGGCAGGATTCGATAGCTGACCTATAGTTCAGGAATTACTCTCTTAGAATCAAAAGAACATCCGTGGCCTGTGGACGGTGCGATGATCCAGCCTCCAAAGAAGACATATAGCAAAGATGAAGACGCAGACACACACACACACAAGCAATGTTGTTTCTGTCAAACAAGCAGTCCGCACATAAATCTATGTTGTGGAAGAAGGAGGTCCCAATAAAGGAACACCTGCAGTCTGTGCCAGGTTCATTTGTGTTCCTCTATGAGAGCAACACCCAGGTGTTCTCAACCAGACCACCTTCCCTGAAACCAGCCTTTGACCTCCGCTTCATACCAGCCTGAAAACTTCTGTTTCCCATGTGTTCCAGAGGTTCTTCACCACAGAAGCGATGCAAACCCGAAGCCGCCCAAGACGTGTGGGAGAGCTTTAAGACGTGGGGAGACCGACCCCCCGGGGGCCTCCAAAGCACGTGGCCCACGTGCCGTCATGTTTCGTTCGCCTCGCGCTTTGTGGGTCATGAAAGGGGCAACTCCCGACCTCAAAGGTGCCGCTTTCCCCGACCTGCGGCGTTTCCTGAGGTTGGAGGTGGATTTGGGTGTACACACGGCCATCCTTCATGAAGGCCGTCGACCTTTCAAGGGGTTGAGAGGATGGGGTCAAGGCAGATGAGCGCTGTCTGGGAAGAAAGAGGGTGTAATTTGATCTCTGCTTTTAATTCACAGTTTCACACTCTGATTTGGCTGGGTGAAGAGGGGACCACACTTGGTTGATAGGCGTTGGTTGTGAAGGAAACATCCTTTTTTGCCTCTTCAACACCAGGAACCCCCCCGTGCAACCTGAGCCGCCAGCGATCGCAGACGTTGATCACTAGCGATAGAGCGGTTCTCGACCTGAAGCATGAAGCAAGATCCCAAGATTAAGTGATCAGAAAAAAGACCATTCTGGGGTACCCAACTGGGATAGTCTATATAATTGAGAAATCATGATCGTGACATGCATGGTTGACTTGGACATGAGCAAGGGTTAAGAACATCCGCAGGCGCCTCAGCCAAACTCGCTACGCTTCGCTCTAGGTGAAAGCACGAGCGCCCGTGACGTCGCCATTCGTACGGGCGTTGACAGTGGCACCGGAGCCCTTGGTTGGGTTCTTCGTGGACCTTTGGTGGCCTTTTGCACTCCGCTGCTTGCTAGGTCTTTTTGCACGACACCCCCTTTGTCCCGGCGGTTGAGGTTGGTGATCCCGGCAGGTTCCCCGGTTTCGATCAAGGACAGAGAGGACAAGCTGTTTCTTTTGGCTGGTTGTGGCCTCCCTTGGGCAAGCGCCTTTTCGTGGAGCACGAGCGGTTGAGAGAAGCTGGAATTTACACCTTTTTGCTGTTTCACGAGTCTCGAAGAGACGCATCGAAGCTGCGAGGCATGGCTGACGAGAAGGATTCGAATGCTGGAGCTTGGAGCAGAGTCCCAACTTGGGACGGATCACCCCAGACCTGGAGAAGCTTCAGGAAAGACATGTCTTGGTGGTTGGCCGGACTTGACATCCAATCCACCAAGAAGTACAATCTAGCAGCAAGATGGCTCTTGCGGCAATCCGGGGTGGTGCGACAGAGAGGAGAAGAATTTGATCCAGCAGAGCTGGAATACCAGAAGGAGGTCAAGATGCCCAATGCTGAGACTGGTGACGACGAGATCGTGACTCCAGAGGATCCTCTGAGCGGCATCAATCGCCTTCTTCGAGCACTTGAGGAGATGACAGGTCGCACCTCGCTCGACAAGCGAGGAGAGCTCCGGAACGTCTTCTACCTGGAGTTGAAGAGAAGGTCAGGTGAGCGGATCTCAGAATTCGCCACGAGGTTCAGAGGGCTCATCGCCGAGATGAAGTCGGAGGGTGTGACCATCCACGATGGTGAACTTGGCTGGTGGTTCAAACAGAAGCTTGGACTTGACCCTCTCCGAACTCAACTGCTGGACACAGCGCTGGCCGGCGCTGAGGACTACAGCACGATCGAGCGTGAAGTCCTGAGGCTGTTCAAGGATTTGCACTCAGCAGATCCCCTTCATCGTCGACAAGGTGATGGCGATCAACGTGCACCTCTCCTGAACAGGTTCCTGAGCCAGCAGGCCAATGCCAGCAGGCCTTCGTCGTATGCTCCCTCGATGGCCAGTTCAGCTGCTCGGTCAATGAGGTCGAATTCATCGACCGCTTCATCGGGTCGACTGCCGTCGAATACCTCCTACAGGAAGCCCTTCATGCAGAAGCAGGCCATGGTGTCTGAAGCCGAGGAGGAGATCCATGTTGATGAACAGGCGAATGAACCGCCTGGTGGTGATGATGAGATGGAGCCTCAGACTTTGGAAGAAGTCTTGACCACCGAAGCTGAAGTTCTTGCAGCTGAACTTGATGAAGCGGCTGCTCAGGGTGTCGATGCCGACACGTTGCAAGAGATTGAAGAAAGCGTTGAAGCAGCAGCCGAAGCCTTCTTGACGATGAAGGAGGCCAGATCCAAGTTGCAAGAAGTCCGCAAAGACCGCGGATATGGCAAAGCACCTTCTCCAGCATCCAGCTCAGTGGCCAACAAGGTCAACTTGAAGAAGCAGTCGGATAGGCATCCTTGCTTTGACTGCGGCTTGGCAGGACACTGGGCAGGCGATCCAGAATGTCAGAAGCCTGGACAACAGCTTGGCAGAAAGAAGGGGAAAGCGGTTCAGAAACAGGTGAAAGTCACCGAGGCGCTCAACACGGAGCATACAGATGAAGCTGATCCTGAACATGAAGTTCTTGTGCTCCGCCATCAACCGCAAGTCCTCACCGATGCTTTTGTCTCGACTGTACAGAACTTCCATGAGCCCAAAGAGGTGAACGCTTTGGGCCTCGCTTTGGACAAAAGATTGGTGGGAGCATTGGATAGCGCCTGCAACCGCACCTGCACTGGCATGGATTGGTTGAACAGCTTTCTCCAAAGGTTGAGGTCAACTGCCCCCGAGGAAGTGATTGCCCTGGTAAAGTGTGAGCCCGAGAAGGAGACCTTTCGCTTTGGTAATGGGGGCACTCAAGTCAGCAAAGAACGATGGCGCCTTCCTACCATGGTTGGTGGTGCAATCATTTGTTTTTGGACCTCTGTTGTTCCGGTGGCATCCCTGGGTTTGCTTTTGGGCCGTGATTTTCTAGAAGCGGTTGGTGCAGTGATGAGTTTTTCTCGGAAAGCCCTTCGGTGCGACCACCTGGATGGGAAGGAGATCCCATTGAGCCAGTTGACGGCAGGTCACTATGCCCTTCACCTCCTCCCGAGCTCTTGGCCAGGTCTGGGCTCTCAGAAGTGGCGTCGATTTGGGTTAGATGGCATTTTGGAAGTGCAATCTTCGTTTGAGCGTTGGGTCCATCGTCGTTTGAAGATGGTTGATGGTCCTCGTTCGTCGACGTCGCTTGGACATGATCATTTTTTGGCAGAGAGCAGTGTGAAGGCTGGTGAACTTGTTCGAAATGTGTTGGCCCCGACGTTTTCTGGCTCGGTTCAAGCTTTGTCCATGCCTCGGACCTCTGAGCGTGGGATTTCCTCGACGACATCTTCTACTACCAGGTCGACCTCAAGGTCTACTACCCGATCGCCTTTGAATGGAGGGCGGAAGCAGCAAGCAAGGCCCAATGAGCCTGAGCATCAGCAGGTGGCGAAGAATGTTGCTCCGCCTTCGAGAACGGTTTCTATGGGCAGTGAAAGGTGTACTGCTGTGGGCCCTGCCAAGGCCTTACTTGCGGTACTTGCCGCTGCCCTATCCATCTTCGGGCACCCCGGACCTTTGGTTGCGGCAAGGTCAACAACAGGTGGCAGATGGTCATGCGAGCAAGCGACACCTGGACATGGCCTACACGATGGACCGCTTCGTGTACAAGAACCTGGTGGAGTGCATGCATTGGCGAGACCGACTTGGCATGATGACGGCCTTCTGCGAAGACCCAGTGTTGACGGGAATGATTCATGCAAAAGCCGCCAAGGGGTTGAGGAAGAAGGTGAGAGACGCCGCTTTGGAAGAAGCCAAGAAGGAGGCCCTCCAGGCCGAACAGGCCGGGAACAAGGAGGAACTGGCTCGCTCGCTCATCGGACCTCGCGGTGGACTTCCACCACTTCGAGGAGACCTGATCAGGTTGGCAGTTCTGTTGAACGTCAAGGTGGACCCCGAGGACAACGTCGAAATGCTCAAGAACAAGGTCCGACCCATCGTTCAGGTCTTGAAAGAGAAGCCTACACCTGCTCCCAGCAAGGCGAAATCAAAAGCGAAGCCAGCAGCCACCAAACCTCAAGGATGGACCGTGGGCTACAGTGCAGGTCTGGTGACAGAGCCGTCTCCCGGGATGGTGTCCTATCAACACCTCATCGACATGCGCAACCGGTTTCAGACAACCCTGGACCACATGGCATTGGAGATCCAAGAGCTTCGACAACAACGTCAACAGGGCACGCAGGTGGACCTCTCCAGTTTGGCGAAGACGGTGTCAAGCAGCTCCGGCTCCGGAGGAGAGATGGAAGTGACGCCGGAACTTCTTCAAGATGCCGCCTGGTCCCTGGAGGGAGCATTCGAGCAGCAGTTGGCTGCTCACTACGGGGAGGAGAACGTGATGTTCCTGACACCGGAGGAGAGGGCTCAGGTCCTCGATCCGTGAACCCGTATGTCATCCACCAGTGCCTGAAACCGGGTGTTGCGAGTCTGATTGGCCAAGCTTGGGATCAACATGAGGCTGACCGCCGAAAGATTTCCCAGGAACCCAAGCGGATTCGCCATGTCCTTGAGGCGGAATTCTTCAAGGAGATGGAGGCCCACATGAATGATGAGACCTTCTTCCAAGTGTTTGATTTGATGCCCACGTTCCATGAGTCCCTTGTGAATGAGAAGACGAATGGCTCTGATCCCCGTCCTTTTCTGGCTGAGGTCTACACGACAGCACAACATGTGTCCAAAGTCGCCCGCGACCGTGGTCATGCCGTTGGACCTGCTTTGAGCCTGGAGACGGGGTGGAACTTTCTTTTGGCTAGCCATCGAGAGCGAGCCAAGAAACAGCTGGCACAAGACAAACCTTTTTGCCTGGTCTTAGCCTTCCCATGTGGCCCTTTTAGCCCTTTGCAACATCTCAATACCAAAGGAAAGCTATCCTGGCCTCGACGTCTGGAGGAAGGGCGAGTCTTGATGCGATTTGCTTTGGAGTTGGCTGACATGCAGCTCAAGGCGGGTCGGCGCTGCATCATTGAGAACCCCAAGCCCTCTGCAGCATGGCGGGAGCCGGAGATGAGAAAGTTTTTGGAGGAGAAGAATGTTCATATGGCTGTGTTTGATCAGTGCCGTTTTGGCCTCAAAAGTGTGGAAGGCATCCCTCAACGGAAGTCAACTTTGGTGGCAAGTTCCAGTTCGAAGGTGATTGACATGTTGAATGGAATGGTTTGCAAGCGTGACCATGCCCACTCTCCTGTCATCGGTGGCTCCCGGGTAACAGCTCGTGCGGGCATCTACCCTATGGGCCTTGCAAAGGCCATGGTGCGGGGAGTTGAAGTTCAGTTCGAACAGGACTTTGGCCATGAAGCGCTGGCTGCTGAGGTTGTGGAGGAAGAAGTCGATCGTCGGCTATGGAGAAGATTCTGACGATGATGAGATGAAGATTTCTCCAGAAGAGGCCAAGATGAACATTCCGGCAAGCGTGAAGCTGGCCATCAAGAGGTTGCATGAGAACACAGGGCATCGCAGTGGGCGAAGACTTGCTCGCGCTCTGGCTATAGCAGGGGCACCTCCGGAAGCAGTTGTTGCAGCCAAACGACATCGATGTGCCGTTTGTGAGGAGAAGGCTCCACCCAAAGCTCGGCGACCTGCCAGTCTCCCTCGTCCAAAAGACATTGGTGACCAAGTGCATGTGGATTTGCTGGAGGTCGAGGACTGCCAGGAGCAGAAATACTATGTCTGTCACTGCACGGACGCGGCAACTCGCTTTCAAGTGGCAGAAGTGCTGCCGAACAAATCTACGGCAGCAGTGATTGAGTTCCTGAGCAAAAGATGGGTGGCTATGTTTGGGCCGCCCCGTGTTTTGGTGTGTGATCAAGGAAGAGAGTTCATCTCTTGGGAGATGGAAGAGTGGGCAAGCTCAATGAGCATTATGCTGCACCACATTGCCGTTCAGGCGCCGTGGCAAAACGGCGTAGCCGAAAGATCAGGAGGCATCCTGAAGACCATCCTGAGTGCAATCGTGGCCGCCAAGAGCATCGTGAACCGCTCTGAGATGGAGATGGCTCTGAGCGAGGCAATCGCCGCCTACAATGGAGATGTGGATGGTGAATCCGGCTGTTCTCCTTTTCAAGCTGCCTTTGGACGTCAACCCCGGATGATTGGTGATGTGCTGGGAGGCATCCAGCAGCGACTTGGTGAACATGGGCTCGTTGAGTCCAAGCCTTCACTTGCTCGTCAGATAGCTATGCGAGAGGTTGCAAAGCTGGCAATGACAAGACTGCACTTCTCTCGTGGGCTTCGCAAAGCGGAACTGGCAAGATCTCGGTCGACTACCATGGAGGCTGCACCAACTCCAGGTTCCATATGCTACTTTTACCGCCCTCTCCGGTACAACAACAAGATGTCTCAGAGCCGGAAGAAGCTCACCTTAAAGAGATGGCATGGACCTGCGATGATGGTGGCGATGGATGGGCACGCCTCCGTGTTCCTCTCCTACAAGGGACAACTCACAAAGTGTGCTCTTGAGCATGTCCGCCTGGCTTCCACTATGGAGCAAATAGCTTCCGGTGCTTGGTCGGAAGCGATCAAGGAGGCGGTGGATGCGGCTCGACATGAGCAAGCCCTGAGGAATACTCAGAGTGATGGCAATCAAGGGTGGCAAGCACCTCAGCAGCCGGTCCTACCAGAGACCCCTGTGGCAGCTGGAAATCCTTCGACACCCGCATTTCTCCCTCCGTCCAATGCGACAATGAATGCCGATGAGAACCAGTTGGAAGGCAGAGATCTACCTCCCGTACAACCTCAAGAGCTTTGGCAGATGATGGTTCCCTCCAATGCTCTCGCTTCTTCTCAGGTAGACTCCTCATTGCCGTCGCGACGGGCTAGCGATTTTTCAGATACGCCCTTTCCTCAGGCCACCAGACTGGCTATGGGAAGACGACCTTCAGGACTGCCTTTGACCTCAGTGCGTGAGAGGGTCCGAGAAATTGAAGGAAGCCTCAAACGTCCAGCTGAGCTGGATGCGGAAGCTCTTCGTGAACAAGGCCATGAACAAGGAACTCCTCGAGCAGAGGCTAGCAGTTCAACGCCTGCAGAAGTGACGGAAGAGACCCTGGTGACTGAAGCCGTTGATGTCATCAAGGCGGAGCTGAAGAAGGAAAATCTCCACCCATTGAGACGAGCCTTCCTGCAGGCTGAACTGGACAAGCAGTCTCCACTAGATGCTGAAGTACCAGATCATGGCACCTGGCATGGAAAATGGTCCCTGCCGTCAAGATCGGAGTGGTTGGCCCATCAGAAACTGGGTCTGAGCTGGCCCAATGGAAGTCAGCCCGATCATGAAGTCCAAGCAGTGCAAGCAAATCGCAAGGAGTTTCGATGGAGGACTATGTCCAGTGAGGAGAAGAAGGCATTTGCTGAAGCTGCAGAGCAAGCATGGTCAGTATGGGAGGAAAATGCTGCAATCGAAGTTTTGACGCCAGAAGAATCAGAGCGTGTGAGAAGGCGGCTCTTGGCGAACAAAGAAGGCAGCAAGATCTTGACTCCCAGGTATGTCTTCACCGACCGGCATGAAGGACTTCGAACGGCTCTCAACCCCCTGCCACTCAAGGCAAGAGCTCGAGTGATCGTGCCAGGGTACAAGGACATCTTTTCCTACAGCCTCAGGAAAGATGCCCCTACGGGGTCCCGTGTGTCTCAACACTTGCTCTTCACATTCACGGCCAGTCATAGCACTCCGACAACACCACGGGAGCAAAAATGGAGGATCATGTCCGCTGATGTGAAGTCTGCCTTTTTGAAGGGAGACGCCTATGTGGATGGCCAGCGGGAGCTCTTTCTGGAGAATGTGAAGGGTGAGGAGCCCAAGTTGCCTTTTGGGAGCTGCTTGGCAAAGATCCGCAAGGGAGTGTTTGGACTCTCAGATGCGCCCCGCCAATGGTACTTGCGCCTCAACAAGTCCTTGCAAGCAGCTGGATGGGAGAGGACGGTTTTCGACTTCGCATGCTGGCTCAAATGGTCTGATGACCGCAAGAAGCTTCGTGGCATCATCATCTCCCACGTGGATGACTTGTTGCTGGGCGGTGACTCTACCGCGCAGGAGAGCCTGTTGACCATTGGAAAGGAGCTGGGCTTCGGAAGTGTAGAATATGATGATTTTGTTTACTGCGGGAAGAGAATCCAGATGAAGCCTGATGGCGCCATATCGGTGAGCATGAAGGCCTACCACGACAACCTCTCGCCCGTGGAGATCCCTCTGAGCAGGAGAAAGACACCCGAACCTGAGCTCAGTGAAAGTGAGCGCCGACAACTCCGAGCCGTTTTAGGTTCCCTTCAGTGGCTCGTCGCTCAGGTCCGATTCGATCAGGGCTATAGTCTCAGCACCCTACAAGGTGAGAAGCCAGTGATTGGGACGCTGCAAAAAGCCAACCAGTTGGTGAAGGAGTTCAAAAGACGTCCCGATTTTTCCTTGGTGTTTCAAGCTTTGGATTTGTCAAAAGCGGGCATCATGGTGGTCTCTGACTCCTCCCTGGGAAACGTGCTTCGAGAAGGAGGCTGTGAAGGCGATGTGCTTGAAAAACTCTATAGCCAATCGGCTTACTTTGTGATCATTGGTGACCACAACCTCATGAACGGCCGTGAAGGATGCTTCAATGTTGTGGATGCTCGATCACACCGGCTTCCAAGAGTATGCAGATCGACCTATGGAGCTGAGCTCATGGGAGTTGAGGAGGGCATGGACATGGGAATCTTTTGCCGGGGTGGCCTAGCAACCTTCCTTGGTCTCCCTACTGGCCGACGGGATTCTCTCAAAGTGATGGAGGAAATCCCCATGGTTTCCATCACGGATGCCAAGGACACCTACGACCGCGGTAACTCCGACTGCCCGACCTATGGTGCTCAGAAGTCCATGGCTTTTGCCGTAGCTTGGGTGAGACAGACCCTCAATGGCTACAACAGCAGCCTGAAGTGGACGGCGACTGCCAACATGTGGGTGGATGCTGGGACGAAGGCTATGCCGCTAGACCACATGCAGGAGATCCTGGCAAAAGGCAAGTGGAGCTACGTCTACCACCAGGACTATGTCAAGCAGAGCCCAAAGAAGAAAACGCCAGAGAAGATCGGCATGACTGCTGAGCTGCCAGGTGAGCCGTTAGATGAGCGTTCCCAAATGTTTCAATTTGTTTTGAAGCTGAGTGGTCAACCCGGCTGGCACGAGAGGCCTGACATGGCGGTGCACGTGGCCTACGGAGCCAAATCTTTCAGGGTGCCAGATGGCCGTTTTGGGGCCAACAAGTATCCAGTGCGGTCCACCTTCGGGAAATTTGATCTGGAGGATGGCCGAAGTGTGTGGAGGCAACTTGAACACGGTGAGAATCTCACCGAATTGGCGAATCGCCAGAAGCTGTTGCCTAGGCCTGCCGGATGCTTGATTTCCTTGTTCATGTCTCAAGCAAAGAAGAGATTAGAGCAGCTGAGAAATCATGATCGTGACATGCATGGTTGACTTGGACATGAGCAAGGGTTAAGAACATCCGCAGGCGCCTCAGCCAAACTCGCTACGCTTCGCTCTAGGTGAAAGCACGAGCGCCCGTGACGTCGCCATTCGTACGGGCGTTGACAATAATATATTAGGTTCTTGAACCTCTTTTTTGTAAGTGGGAGCTGTTGTGCGAGTCTTTTCCTGACAACACGCAATGACCCGCAAAGCGCCGCTTGATGAAGAACCTCTCCCCCATGTCGATGGATTGAACCATGATTACATGGAACAAAATCCTTCATCACCGAGTCTTACATGATTCCAAACCACCTGCAAAGCATCAGAGGTTGAAGAACCTAGACTATCCCAGTTGTACCCCCGGTTTTGAGACACCTGCAGGCACCACCAAAGACACCCGGTCATGAGGCACCATGGCCCCACCCACGGCCCCACCACGACCTGGTCGAGGTGGCTATGCCGAGGTTCTCGCTGTGGGGAACCCTGGGCGATCCGCGCAGATCTGTCGAGAAACGTCGAGAGGCGAAAATCGACGTGTGGGTTTGGACCACGTGGTGGGGTGCAAGGAGAAGATTCCTTTGGTTGGGACGGGATGATGGGATGATGGGATGATGTTACTCAAGTTTTTCTTCATTTCTATTTTTTCGTTTCCTCTTGAGACTTGGATTCTAGATGCACAAAAGTGATCTACTTCGCAGGGATCAATTCAACAAGCGCTTTCGGACGGTCCAGCCACTTTCGCCCGGCGCCAGACCCTTTTGTCATGACTGTCCAGCCACTGCAGTGTTTTGTTCTTACTCTTTCACGGCGATTGCTGAAACCTGGATTCCTGGCAGGAATTTAAAGACTAGAAAAGATTCATGGTTTCTAGAAAAGACTCGAACACCAGCTCGTCAACCTCTTTCTTGAATGGTAAACCCACCGGGGGCCTGGTTCATTCCAACCCCCACTGTCCCGCCGTTCGTTGCGGGTGGCTCTTTGGCGTGGCCTCAGACGGGGGCGGTTGTGAGGTGCTTTTAGAGGAGAACGTGGATGTGGATCACCAGCTCTCCACCTCAATCTTCACTGGACTGGGCGCCTTGCACCTTGGTGGAACTCACTCCCCAAACGCCGCTCCCGGATACGATGGAGGGCCCAAAATTAGGACCGAGCCAGGCGAAAAAAACATGCGAAAGAGCTGGACGGCCAGCTTTCATCACTTGGACTTAGATGTCTTCATTCACGGATATTTCTTGGAAGGTGCAGTGATTCCCCAAATTCGCCATGGAACCTACCGGACGGTCTATGGAACAATGCTATGCATGCAGAACAAAACTATGCTATCCGCTCGGAACTTATATCCTCTCACCCAGGCTTGCAGCTCAAAAGAAGGATAATTCTTATTGGATGTTCTTTTTTCATCTTCAACCAAGATCTTCCACTGATGTAGGTCATGCTACAATGCAGAGCGACAGTGCAGGTTTTTGAATTGAGCTGCATCCGGATTTGTTCAAAACCGTTCTTGAATGTTCTTGTCTGGTTCATGTTTTGTGATTTCTGGGTGATCGTTTTTGGGTTCATGTTTTCGCGTTCTGAACTCCACGTACCCATTGGTGCGCACCAAGACGAATCTTCCAAGGCTTGCAGGATACAGCTTGATTCATCGTTACAAGGAGACGACTTTGAGCACCTATGCCACTGGGCCTTGAGCGGGTGAAGTTGAGAGAGTGAGGTCTGGACACCCGAAGCTGGTCCGGGGCCCAGACGACCCTAGGAGGGAGGCCATCGCTACTAGGTTGGAGGCCATCGCTAGGGAAAAAAAAAAGAACACCTTCGCCTTCCGTGAGCATTGCAGATCTAGACGCGACCCTGGACCCCCCAGACCTATGGAGGGGTCTGGGGGTTTCTCACCAATCCCTACGTTTGGTTCGGGACCCGGTTCGGTCGGGCTGTGAACTCACGATTCCACGGAGCGTCGGTTCGGGGCACATTGACGTCGTTGGTCGTTGGTCTAAAACATCCTTAAACGGATTGGGTGGACCTGTTGGACCCAATCCTCGGAACGGTTCCAACACAGGTTTTTCATGACCCGACTGTTCGATCTATCCCAGGCCAGAGTACCCCAGGTAGCGAGCTCGGGTCCTATTTACGGTCACTGGCTACCTCTCTTGGGAGGTTCTGGAGTCCGATCCTTCGCCCTCCTTCCACTTCCACTTCCCCCCCTCCAAGTCAGGTCTCTTCTTGGTCAGGTCAGGTCGAAGGTCCCGGACACGGTGTGGACATGGACCCGGACCTGGACGCGTCCGGGGTTTGGACGAAAAGAGATGTAGCAGTTGGTTCGGGTCCAGTTTCGCCTTTGGGAATGGAGGGCGTTTGGGATGTTGAGACATTCGCCTACCCTGGGGGCGAAACTGGCGGTTTTGCCTGGGGCGGTTGCCTCCACCATCTTGCCAAGATTGGTGGGCCAATTTTCGAGGCTTCAGGTTCCTTCCAATTTTCGAAGAATTGACAGCTGATTCTAGCAAACTGCTCGGGAAAGGACTTCATTTGACTGGATTTTGGTCATATACATGAAGAACAACACGACTCTTACTGAGGTTTGACTGGGATCAAGTTACCGACAGGTCAAACAGGACGTGGCGTCACTGAGATCTCAAAGATCGCGCCACTGGCGGTCCTGTCTTAGAGGTAGAGGGCGACAGCGGTGAAAAGACCTGGTTTTCTCGTAGATCGAGTCTTGCAACTTTTCAACGTGTTTTTTTTGGTAGGATCCCTGGCTGGACCATGAATTGAAGAGTCTGAATCCTGAAGAACCATTGCTTTTACTGACGAATTTAGGCTACAAAGCCAGCTCAGCCTCTTTTTTCTATCTTGGGTTTTAATCATCCCGGGCAGCGACTTGAGGATTGAACATCCCTCAGTCGAACATGTTCAAATTTAGAACCCGAAAGAGCTCGGACTTCAACATAAGCCATGTTGAGTCCTTTGATCGGGATCTCTCCTAGGGAAAGGCTTTGCTGTATTTGGCCTTCATCTCGTTGAACTCCAGACCACTTACGAAGTCCAAACTAGACCGCAACATAAAGAACACATTTCTTCAAGAACACACACGTGTCGACACACCTTGCTGTTTAACTGTGCACAGCTTGTCCCCCCCCCCGGCCGTGTTCCTCCCTGAAATCGGTCGTGTGAGTTCGTGAAATCGCTGAAATCGCCGAACTCGAGGCTTATCATCACCAACAGGCGCGAACTCGCACCGGCCGGCCTTCTGTGGCCCCGCCGGTGGGACACGCGTCCGGGCGAGGAGTTCGGAGCTTCGCCGATTCTCCTCGATCCGGCGGAGCCCGGGGGGTGAGAAGCCCACCCAAAGACGTGTGGACCTGTCGGGTCCCCAAGACGATGCCACCAACCGCACTGAACCCGAGACAACTGGGTGCTGAACCGGGCTGGGCGCTTGTTTCGGGGCTGCTGAACCTTCGGTTTCGGAGGTCTGGTGTTGTGCAGTCGGAGTGCGAATGAGTCCGATCAGCCCGGAGAGGATCCGGACCCTCCAAAACACCAGGGTTGAGTTCGGGGCCCTGTACGTCACCCCGTAGTTCACAGCAGGCGCCATCGAAGCCCTTCGTTTCGGTGTCGTTTCGGTGTCGGGGGAGTTCCTCGGATCAGAGAGTTGCATGGGGGGCCACGGGTGTCGAGTGAAATGAGGATGGCGGATCGTGGCTGTTGCGGGTCTCATGACTGTTGCGGGTCTATGCCGATGTCAGGGAACTGAAGGAAGTGAGGACCGACTTGTAGACTTCCGGACCCATGATGCAACGACATGTCTCAGTTCATGAAAAGCACCCAAGGAGAAAGACATGGACGTCATCTGAGACAACATCACATGGGCACATAAACCCAGGGACCAGCCATTTAATGTAGAAGAAACTTTGAATAAACCCACCACATCTGCATCAACCCTGAGATCTCTGCTCTTTCTTCATCTTGTCGCAGACTTCAACCCATCGCCACGGGCGGACTCCGCGTCGGGTCCCGATTTCTCGCGCGGCGAACGTGTCAGGCCACGCCGCTGATGTGTAGCCTTTTGACCGGGGCTTATGAGGCCACCGCCATGCTGATGGCTGCAGGCCGCCCTTGATTTCCAGCCGCGGCGCCCACCCCGCGGTGGTCGGGCGTGACGCGCGCGTGGCTTTGAGCGGTACGGTGGTACGGCGCGGCGTGGTGTTGGTTTGCCGACTGTGGACGCTTCATATCTACGAATCGAGGAAGAACAGGGAGAAGTGGTTCACTGCGTGGTGAACGAAGCGGTATAAGAAAGTGTGGTGAACCATCAGAGTTGTGCACCAGATCAGCATGGGCCACCCAGATGAGTTCTGAAGCAAGGCATGCTGTGAGTGATTGCGCCAGAGAAAGGCAAGTGAAACACCACAGGATGGACCCAGAAACAGGATGGAACAGGGACACAAACCTACAAAAACCCTTGAGACAAACACATGAGGACTACTATTTTTCTCTTTGCAACTGGTCTCTCCTTGACTTCTTCGCTCCTGGACTGGCGGTTTCTGGTCGTCCGGTGACGGTGGTTTCCACGACCAGGCGCCCGCACGGAGCTGCGGAATGGGAGGGGCAAGTCGGCGCTGGACCTGGCGCTGGAGACGGGGGCGCCGGGCTTCATCTTGTGCGTCGCTGGGACGAGACCGACCGAGCTACGCGCCACGTCGGGGCAGCGGGGGGGGGGACGTCACCGACGACGTGCCGCGGCGGACGGAAAAGAGCGGGGCGCTCCTGGCATTACTACTGGGAACTAAGAAGCTACTACTAACAAGGGCATTACTTGTACCCAGACGCTCCTGGACCCTCATATGCAGGGGTCGGACCCGAATCCTCTGGAGGGGTCGGACCCTCAAATCCCTATGGTTTTGAGGGACCCAAGGGCTGTTTGGAGCGTCTGGGTAGTAAGAAGCTACTAGTAACAAGATTTGGGATGACTTTGGGACAGGAATCTTTGCCGCAATGACGATGTGAAAAACGATGCTTTAGAGGTCGAAGTCAATTGTAGGTCAATCTTCCAGGTCCCATGGATTGTCTTGGGATGGGTCGTACATGTCGCTTCTGGATGCTTACGGGCGGTTGGGGATGCGCACTCACGGAGAAAGCGGACGGTCCGAGGGCATCGCCGCTCCCCGCGCGTGGCTGGACGCCCGGCTTGGCCCATCGTGGCGCACCCCAAAAACCACACGGGACATGAACCATCCCCTCGGGCTCCTGGGCCTACCTCCTGAGGTTCGATGGTTATGGTGGGTGCCATGGTGGGTGCCAGGCGGGTCTCACCACCTGAGGATATGGTTGGAGGTGTAGGGATCACATGGTCCGGGTGGATGTGTCGATCGTTTTCCAAGAAGAGAGAGAGGCCCAGCATAGGACTACGTGCGGAGAACATCGGGAAGCCCGGTGTGCGTACGACGACGACTACGGCTCACCCAAATTGGTTTGGAGCCCCTTCTTGGGAGGAAAAGGAAGAGAAAGGAAGACTGGAACGATCTTCTGGAGAAGATACAATCCCTAGGGCTCCTGGCCCAGGGCTCCTCAGGTGGTTTTTATCCCCCTGGCGTTCACCCCAACCACCGAACCTCAGGTAGTTGCAGCCCTACCAGCACCTCCAACAGGTCACCAATTGAAACCTGTTAGGGCCTTTCCCAACCCTCCATTTCGGAGACCTGTTGGAAGGTGCTGGTAGGGAATGATTCTTTCCTCTTTTTTACCACTGCTGGCCTTCCGCGGCCTTCGTCGGCCGCGGAGCTTCGCTGCTTAGGCCCTCCGAGGGGATTGCGAGCCTTGACTGATGTGGGGAGGGTCACTGAAGCCTAGAACGACATCCAGATCCCACAACTGCTACCAGGGCCCCCTAGGGGGGAGTCTAATTGTAGCTCCTTAGAGGTATCCAGTATCCATGAACCACCCCATGGTCCCCCCAAACCGCTAAAAGTCACCGAGCTCGGGGGGGGTGGTGTGTTGAGTCCCATCCAGTCTGTCGTGGATGCGGTGGCCGCGTCGGCCTGAACCGGCGACCGGCCAAGGGTGACGTGTTCGTAAGTCGCCCCACCCCGAAGAAACACCCAGTCACAATGACGACGGGGTGCGATCCATGGAGGAAGTCCGGGTGCCCCTGTCACATCCACAGCCCCTGGATGGGACGAACCAAACCACCCCGTCTTGCGACTCCTGGCCCGAACAGATTGTCGTGAACACTTTCTGCCAAGCCCGGCGGATCCTGGGGTTGAGGAAGATTGGGATCAACCCACGTGGGCCATCGCGGAGCCGGTGCGCCATGCACCCAGCGATTTGGGTCAGAAATTGGTGCAACTTACTCTGAACTCAGACACGACCTGTCTGGGACTGGCATCTTTTACGTTCATTGAGCCGATGTTTGTTCGGGGTCAATCACCAGGGGTCAATGTAGGTCTACATGCCACCCCACGGCCAGATCCGAAGTACTTTCCGACTATGGGAGTTCGAACCCTTGGCGCCTGGAAGACGTGATTTCGATTCGTGAATGCCGAAGGAGCAATCCGGAACCCACCAACACAGATGAAGTGACCGTAAATAGGACCCTACCAGGGTACCTATGGGATAGCCTATACCAGGACCTTCCAACAGGTGGTTTTAGAAGCCGAAGTCAGGCGGCTTCTGGGCACCTGTTGTCACCAGGAAACACCTGTTGGAGGGTCCAGGTAGGGTTCTTCAAGCTCTGTTGGAATAGGGGTTTAGACCCTTCGAGGCATCTTCCCCTTCGAGAGATTCAGACATAGCCCGCATATGCCCGCATCGTGTTTGGAAGGACAATACGATAGAGATATCCAACAGAGGTTGAGTGACCCTATATAGACTATCCCATAGGTACCCCAGGTTACGGGTCCTATAAGGTCACTTAACCTCTCTTGGTATGGTCAGACGGCGCAAGGGAAGCGTCGATCTGGATGAGGTCGTCGAGTCAGTGGTACTTCTTGGGCAGAGAAGTCATGCGAGTGGTGTTGTTGATTCTTTTTCTGCCAAAACAGCTGGGGCTCAAAGAGAGCAAAAAAGAATGCCTCGTCTCAGGATGCCTGTGAACGGCTGCTGAGTGGGTACATAGAAGTGGCTGCAAGACATGTTCTGTCTACTGAGAGGGTCTGAGCCTCGTCCGGTAGCTGAGCAGAGAACAGGGCCCTGGCTGGAGGATGGTACACTTGGGTTTCCTGAGAAGGACATAAACATACATTATAAGCAGACCATAAACACGACATATATAGTCTATAGTCTATATATGCCCACCTGGACCCTCCAACAGGTCTCCTCTGGTGGCTTTTGGAGACTTAAAAGTCGCAGGTGGTGACCTGTGAAGTCGGGTCCTGGCACATAGGATTCCAACCACCATCGATTTATGAGTCTTGACCGAACAACCCGAACCACCCGAATGTGTTTCCGCGAACCTCTGCGGCCCAACGTGTTCGGCGAGTTTAGCAGTAGCATGCCCAGGCTTCCTGGCCCACCATGAATTTAATAGGCTGACGACCCAATCAACTTAAGGATTTTACACTACTTCCAACCAGGTCGTTCCCATGGTTTTTTCATGGTCGTTCCCGGAAGTCTAGGGATGTATACCGCTTTGTGATGCCATGTATACGCATTGCGACGATGCCATCCTTACAGTCGCAATGAGTCGCAATGAAACCATGGGCCATATGCCACATAAATGTGATTCTTTTGCTCATTCTCCATTCGCAACCCCTTCCAGCGGACATGCTGGATTCGCCCCGTCTGATGTTCACGGATCCTTTCGTGCTATAAACGCCGTCTTGGTCCGGTGCCCAAAAAACGTCTTCCGTGCTGGACGCCTTGTCTCATGGAGACAGCCCCATGGTCCGTCGCAACGGCGGAAGGGCTGGGCCACTGGGCCCCGAAGAGTTGGCGAGTCGTTCCTACGTCTGCCAGAATTGGCTGATCCGTCCACACCGTCGCCACACCGTCGTCTCCGTCCACACCTCGATCATGTCGGTCTTCGAATGAATTTCAAGCAGCAGTCACCTTCGACGGGGTGCTATCCATGGAGGAAGTCGGGGTGTCCCTGTCACGTCCACAGCCCCTGGATGGGACGGACCAAACCACCCAACTCCTTACGTGACTCCTGGCATCTTGTGACTCTTGTAGGAACTCGATCCAGTCAAGTCAAAGGTCGAACTGGACTCCGGGAAACACCACCACCCGACCACCCGTGTGCCTTCGTCGCTCCGGCGGGCTCCCGTTTCTGCGGCGTAATCGTGGTCCGCTCCGTTCGGCGGACGTCCACCCCAGCGATCATGGCGTGGTCGTGGCGTCATTGGAGAAACGGTGTGTTGACACTTTGAAGACGTAGCGTTGGTTGACACTTTGGAGCAAGAACTTCCAGCACACTTATGGATTTGCACGGTTTAGGGTTTAGGGTTTGAGTGTCCATGATGTGTTTTGCAATGCTCTTAGCATTCACTGGTTTTCCTCAAAGATCCTTGACGGCACCATCGGTCAGTGTCCCAACCCAAAGTTCTCCGACCCATGTTGATCACAAGTTTCCGATGGGATGAGGCCAAGGCAACAATTTCAGTCCTAGACGAACGAAGCCAGACTGTAGTACTGTAGCAAAGAGATGTCAAGAGGACCAGTGAAAAAAAGAGACTTTCGATGGCAAAGGGTGTCTTCACTCCTACAGCTGAAACTCTTTCCAGTTCATCTGCTTGAGCCACGGGCCGGAGCTGCCAACTTGTCGGCCACCGGCTGAGCATTTGATGCGGACTTTCGTTCGTTGAACCGCGAGCAGACGCGGACTGACATGGACAGGCCTGCAGAACGGGGTGCCTGATGGTGCCCATTTTCCTTCCATAGAGGTTGAAGATCACCGTTCCTCTCAGAAGTTGGTGAAACCTGTGAAGAATCAAAGATACCGCTGTGAAGAATTTCTTGGTTCTTTTTTTTGGGCAGTTCAACCATTCAGAGGCGGTTCTGAAAAAAGACAGCACGGACCATCATGGACGTCAACGTTTGATTCTCTTTTGCCCCAGTGAAGAAACTAGGACGTTCTTGAAATCAGGACTTTTCGGCGGCCTCTACCCTGAAAGTCAAGTCGCCTATATGACAGATAAGTGCTTTGACGTCCAGGAACACCCTCTCGGGACCCGAGAGCTTCCTTTACTTACTTCAGTCGGTCCCAAAAATGGGTCGCCTCATGGACTTCGAGGCTTTAGCGAGACCCCCTGTTCCGCGACCCGACCGAGCTCGGCCCCGAATCCGAATCGGGGTCGGAGCTTCCTCATCGGGAGGGGGTCTGGACCTTCTCACCAAACCCCTACCAGCACCGAAACCAACAGGTCTCCGTTGCATGGGTTGGGAAAGGCCCTGTCACAGGTCTGCAGCTTGGTGACCTGTTGGCCGTCGGTGCTGGTAGGGCTTTGGTCCCGACCCCGGGAGGCGCCGAGCTCGGTTCGCGGACCCCGCCGGTTGCGCCGAACCGGAGGGTGGGTAGGTGTCGTCTGATTGACTCAGACGGGTGGGTAGGTCATGGGTTTTTCCGGATAGGATCCGGACCCTCAAACACTAAGGGTTTGGTTCGGGGCCTGTACGTCACCCTTGAGTTCACATCAGACTTCGACCCCTGCAGACTGCAGGGTCTGAACTCGGATCCTGAGCCCAGTGCATCCCAGGTAGCTCCCACGTCAAGAAAGGAACCAGGGATTCGTTCGGAACCGGTCTGTAGTTTTTAGTCTTTGCAATAGTGTTTGGAACCGGAGGGCCGGAGGGTCCAAGGATCCTTAGGGTCGGACTTCAGCTGCGTCGCTCTCGCCGATCGGAGGAAGTGTGGATCGATCACGGGTCACTCATGTCTTTGACCCGCCCGGACGCGACCCGAACTCGGCCCCGAACCGTTCAGGGACCGGGGCCCCGTACCCGAATGGTCGGGTCAGGGGGTCCGGACCCTTCAGCCCCCAATCCATCGGTTTTGGTTCGGACCCGGAAGTAGGGCTGGGAACGAAAACGGAGCGTCTGGGCGGATAGACCCTCAAACACACAGGGTTTGGTTCGGGGCGTTCACCCCGTCGTTCGCTTCGACCCCCTGGTTCCCCGAGTCTCGGGTCCGGACTCGGGGTCAGGACAAGTGGAGGTGTGGGTTTCAAGCGGTTTGCTTGTGTTGGCGCACTAGAGCGCTTGGAGATCCCCCGAGTGACCTTCTCTTCAAGATCTGTTGGTGCACCGCCCGTTTCAGCCGAGGGTTCGTGGGTTCGCTCGTTTCTGGTTCCATCGGGTTGTGAAGCAGCTGTTGGCATTGGAATCGGTTTGCAAACAGGAGGATCTTTCAGTCTCCCAAACTGGGTGTGAAGTTTCCTGGCTCTTTGGTTCCTCGGTGTCGCGGCTGTCGCCGCGTACATCCCCGTCTACCAGACGGTGTGGGTAAACCAACGTTCTGGGGGAAGGTGATCACATGAGCCGCGTCGAACTCAGTGAGGGTAGGGAGTTTGTTCCAAAGAACTCCGATCCCCACGCGGCGTGGAGAATCCCACTGGCTGGAGAATCAGCCAGTCAAGATTTTTGCGACCCATGGGATGAAGACTGAACCGTTCGGGCATCGCTACTAGGAGCAAGGACGCTACGAACGGGGCGAACCTGGCCTTACTACTAAGAGCAAGGACGCTACCAACAAAAAGCATGTGTTGGAAGAATACTCTTATAGAAGAAGACCTTTGCTTTTGCATTTCTATCCCATACACGACCCATGGGACTGGCATACTGTATTGACCTACATCGGGGGTGGTTGAGTTTGGGGTGGCACTTCAATCTTGCACCCAGCTCTCCCAGTTGCTCAGGGACCCTCAAACTGACTCAAACTGCTATAGTGGGTTGAGAGCAGATGGCGCAATCCCCAAGTTCGGTGTTTTACATGGACCCCAATTAAAAAAGACATCGACTGGGGTGCCAGTGCCATCTACTCTCAATCAACTGCTACATCTGTCCTTCGGTCCATTCCACCCGAGTGGTAGCGCCGCACGGAGCCGCACCGAGCGACGCACGGTCCCACTGAGTGGTCTCCAGGTCCCGGTTGGTGGTGTCGGTGGTGTTTGGGTCTTGCTTCACATCCGGTGAAAGGCATAGATGGCTGACGACCACCAACGGCGCCAGGTCACCAATTGAAACAGACCTGTGTTATGACAGGGCCAACCTCCCAACCCATGCAACGGAGACCTGTTGGTTTCGGTGCTGCTATTGGTTGGTTATTGAGAGGATATCGGGATACCACCGGTCATGTAGACACCAAGTTCTATGGTATCTGGCCAGCTTGCGCCCTCTATGAGTCCCAAGGCCTTCAACCTAATTTCTATGGCCAACCTAATAGTGCTGGCCTCCAACCTACTAGCGATCAACCTAATAGCAACGGCCTCCTAAAAGCGATGGCCTCCACCTTGTACGGTAGCTGGCTACCTGACACCCTCTGTACTGGTGAAATGTCTGACACCGTCGTCGCATGGGCCCTGCGAATCTTGAGCCTTTCTTTCTTTGGCCTCCGCTGCACGACGAACGAATGAGTCGTTGGGCTTTCCTTGGAAAGACGAGTCGTTCTAACTATCCCTACTAGTAGGCTTCCAACCACCATTGTTTCACCAAACAACAATTGGTTTAGTCAAGGATTTTATACTGGAACACCAGGTTATATAACCATGTTCAACATGGTTTTGGAAGCCTAGGCTATGGAAACACAGAACAAATGCTCTCGACTGTTAAGCCACTGGCTCTCTCTTCTCAACGAAACAAGGATGTTTCCCCCTAGAAGCGCAAGTATTTGGCGAGTGCACACCGAACCAGGGGGGGTTGTCCACTTCTATTGACGTGCATGAATGCTACGGATGCTACGGATGCTATGGATTTTTTCCATCTCAATCCAATCCTCCATGGGAAGCCCGTACCGCGGTAGGGACAAACCGAATCGATCCGGAGAAAAACGTCCAGAATCTTAGGGTCCGTCGGCGATGGAGCGAGTGGAGCGAGTGGGCGAGCGGTGCAGAGGAGGTGGATAGGATGTGGATGAACCCGACAAATTCCTGGCCCACCATTGATTTCAGGATCTGAATCCCGAAGAACCCTTGGTTTACTAAGCATTTTTGCCCTACAAAAAC